CAAATTCAAACCCCAGTCAAGCTGGGGCAATTGTTGCCCCCTCTCCAGTGCCAGTTGAGTCTAAACTAAAGCTTGTGCTGCTGATAGAATCAGTGCATATCAGGCCAGCACCCCTGCAAAAGAGCCCTGTACTACCTGCATTTGTTGGAGTCCGCGGAGCCACAACTACAAAGTGAACAAGCCCAAACACAAACTCCAAAACCCGGTAGACGTTGGTAGACCCAACCGCCCAGCAGCCGTATGCAACCCCAGTGCATGTGGCGTTCCTTGGCTGGGCAGGCTCTACGATAAGGGTTTTGGCGATCCAGGGTTTGTAGGATGATACAGAGATCAAGACCTCGTCAATCGCATCACAGGGTCCTATGCTTTGGCGGGTTTTAGTTTTAGGTTTGTAGGCCGGAAGCCCAGGCAACATGCACCCGCAAGCCTTGGGTTCCAAGTGCCAAAAGATCTTGAGGTCTCGCCGCAGCCTGCAAACCTGAAAGTTACCGCCAAACGCCCGAATGCCTTGGTGCAAGAGTCATGAAGGCAAGAAGGAAACCGTTCGCCACGATGCCAACAGAACGCCACCTCGCCGGACACTCTTCTTTAATCAGCACATGGATAATCCCCCTAAACCCTACACCCTAAACCCTACACCCTAAACCCTACTGTTGACCCTAATCCGCCGAGGCCTTGGGCCGTAGGTGTCTGGGTAGCACAAAGCAGGCACCCCACCTGTAATAACCTCCTAGGCGCGAGGTTTGCACCCCTTTATTTTGCATTTTTGGCCTGAAATGGCTACCCCCCCCAGCCGACAAGTGTCCGGGACCAGGGGGCACTTCAGCCTGCCATAGGGGCCGCCATCCACCCCCCCCCCACCCCTCCCCCCCTTCCTTTTCCTTTTTCTTTCTTTCCTTTTTCTTTTATTTCTTTCCTCTTTATTTCTTTCTCTCTCCTTCTTTTATTTTGCATATTCTTGCTTTTGTTTCTGTCGTTTTGCATTTGTTCCTCTTTCGTTTCTTGGCCTTCTCTAAAGAATGAAGGCAGGAAGGAGGACCCTACAGAGAAAGACACAAAGAAAGACCACGTGCACGGAATAAGAACAAAGAAAATGTACTCGGGGCGGGACTCGAACCCGCAATCTCCTCCTTAGGAGGGAGGCGCCTTATCCATCAGGCCACACGAGTTTCAATCACCACTGAAAAACCCCAACTCTCAAAAATCGAGAGGTCCTTGAAGAGTGCCATCGAGGAAGGGTGTCTTGAAAGAGCCGAGGAGAACGTTTTCCAAGCCAGGAAGTTCCATTTTGCGAGTAAAAAGGAAGGCAAGAGAAAGGATAAAGACAAAATTGAGAAGACAGCACCAAAAATAGAAGGGAAGCTTTTTTCTGCTTCTTCTTCTCGCCAACTGGCCCAAAACACGGAGGGTTGACTTTCTGGATCAGCTGCCAGATGTTAAGTGCATCAGCCGGGAATCGAACCCGGGTCACATCGATGGCAACGATGTATTCTGCCACTAGACCACTGACGCTCCTGGTCTGTGCCTGCCTGCTTCTCACGAAAAGGAAATCCTGTTTGATCTGGAAGGGACTTTCTTCTCAGTAAAACTAAAGTAACTAAAGGAGGAGACTCGTATGAGCAACTTTTCTGGTCGGACTTTGCGCCCAGCTACTGCGGTCACTTATCCAGATGAGATCATAAATACAAAAAGAAAGAGAGGGAAAAGATAAACCTGGAGGCACAGTTGTCTGCCAATCTAGCAGCCCAGCAAGAGCATCCCCTGTGGGACTCGAACCCACAACACTAGTGGAACCATTGGCCTCCGGGCCTTGCCTCCCCCACCCCACCTGCCCCCAGCCCCCAGGTTTGGGCTGCCCTTGTTGCAGAAGCTCAGGCCGAGGCGGGTCGCGTAGCGTTAAAATTAAATCCTAAACAACCAACCCTCTGTCAGCATTCCGTTGGTGGACTTGAGGTTGGACATCTGAGGGCTTCACAGCTTCGGAGCCTTCGTGAGTTGAGGATGGGATCCACTGCAGGCTTCTTTGGTACGCTTGGGGCTGCAGGTTGACTGCGGCATCTTCTCTTAGACAAGGGCTCCACAACGTGAAGCCAGAGAAAGAAGCAAGAGGATGAAAGTTCGCGACCAGGGGCTCGGCTTTTTGTGTTCTGCGAGCGTGGCTCGAAACAGGCACATATTGTGCCAAGTAGTTAATGCAAGCCCGGCACCCCGATCGACAGCATGCCCCCCGCCCCCACAACACTCTATAACCATAACTACTATTCTTAGTATGCTTACAATTATCTATGCTTTCACATTTTCCAGTACTTTTCTTCTGAATTTCTCAGACCCCGAAGAAGCAGCGGAAGAAGCACAAGCCATGGCTGTCACTCTGGGGATCCCAGCGTCCAGATGCTGATGACTTCTCGAGGCTCCACCCCCAAAGCCTCAGATTCGAGGAGACTACAGACCGGCATGGGCGAATTCTACCCGAGCATCCCTTATAAGAAAGCCCGTGATAAATTTCTGGGCTTGATTAGTGTGGGGTTTACAAGGCCTCTGAATCCTTGGAAGCGTGTAGGGCTTCATCGGTGCAGATCGGGCGCGTTCTCAACATCCGGCTTGATGGCCGAGAATTCCGGAACTGACGCCTGCGGCGCCCGACGCATGCTGCTTTTGTATGACCCCTACGTGTTGAGGTGCAGGTTTTATGCCGTGGCCTGTCTACTCAGTACCCTTGTCCACGGTCGTGTTGTGCTCAGGCGTTATGGGTTTAGTTGGCTCTCAGGCTAGGCGGTGGTGTGACTCGTCCATGAAGGTTCAAGGTGACTGGCTCAATTTCCTGCGGAATCTCAAAAAGTCATGAATAGTAACGTTGACGAAGACGCCACCTCATGGACATGCCTCGATTGAGGCGAGTTAGCTGAACCACAACAACTGCTCGCACAGCCTGTGATTCGCTTGCCACCTTAGTCCCCGCCAACAGGTGGCTGGAGCTGGAGATGGGGGACATTCTGCAGGTTGCAAAGCTGTTAGACTCAAAGCTGGCAGTGCTCTTCCAGGTCGCTTGTCTCTCAAACACAACCTGTGCTACACCTTCAGCAGCCCTATATAGCCCTATTGAATGCTACTCTTTTGTGAGAAAGGATCCCCTAGCAACGAAGCCCGAGATGCGACGCCAACGCCAAAACAGTCTACGATTGCCTGCATGGTCCTGGAGACTGTCCCTTCTTTTGACAACCCGCCGCGACAGCATGTGCGCTTCACGGGTATCGACGAAGAGCGACTCTAACCCCGGATCACGCGTCTCGTCGGGTACATAGGTAGAGACCAAATCGAACATAGAATGGTGGACCCAAGTGGAAAAAGCCAAGCAGAATGGTTCCTGGACGGATGGACTCGGGACGCTTGAACTCCATGACACGTCGTGCATCATAGCTATGGAGGTATTACGTATGGGCTGCAAGACAGGTTAGGTTGTAGGACGGATCTCTAGGCCAAGGCGCGCTCAGATTCTCGTGACTCAGATGGCTCAGGCCTCGGGTGGATCAAATCTAAGCCTTACCGAGATTCTCCAATGATTCTCCTGAGAGCCATTGTGGCAAACGTGATTTGCTTAACTGCATCTTGCAGGCGGGAGTTCGGGTTGCTTCTACGATGCCCCTCGAAACCCTTCTACTTTCTGCGTCTCTCCATCTCCAAGCCCAAGGCCAGCAGACAGTGTCGTGCATTGAGAGAGGTAGGATGCAGCCTGGACAAGGGCGAGAGGGGACCTTGGGAGCCCGAAGTTCTTGCACAGCCCTGAGCTTGCCTGAAATGAACGAATGAGACTACTTCCTCCGCGCAATCTGTCCCACACTGCAAGGGAGGGAGTGCCGAATCATGTGCAAGGCACAAGAAAAGCACGGTGATTGAAACAGATGCATGGCGCCTTCAGCTGCCCTGTCCACTACTGCCACTGGTGAGTCAAAGGAATCATGACCGGAAACGTGCGCCTGGGCAATCGATTGAACCATGCCAGCATTGCCATGATCCGCCACCACCCCCCCCCCCGCCCTCGCCGCCCACCCCCTAGCCTCATGTGTATGAGGTGTTTCGGGTGCCAGGTGCAGGTATGCCGACCAAATCCAGCCAAGTAAGATGGCCGAATAGGGAGCACGGACATTTTGTGGGGGAAAAGAATGACAAGAGCGTTCAATTCTCAGCGGCCGATGGCAAATCATCACGAAAGTTGGACAAGCGCAGATAGAAACGGCGCACATCATACTCAGCAGCCTCAACTCATAAGACTGTGGGTTTATAGGGTTTGGGGTTTAGGGGGACTATGGGACCATGGGCCTTCTTCAAGCCGCGTGTGTCGCCCGTGTGCTCCAGAGCACTGCTGCAGTTGGTGTGCTCCAGGCGGCTGCCGCTGGTGTGCTCCAGCTCCGTAGCGACGGTGGACTCCTGCAGAAGAGTAGACCAGACGTGGATGTTCTGAGTATGTCTGACTTGTAGAGCTTTGTTCATGACGGAACGGGTCTGCGTTTTTTTTGAGGGCTTCTATAGCGCCACACATTCTGACAGTCCACGGCTCACAAGAAATCTCAAGTCGGGATCCAAATCCCTTCGTAGCCCCACATGCTTCAAGGAGCAGCTTCTCAAATGAGCACAGAGGTTTGTTACCCAGGGCCGAGCCCTCTAAGGAGTGGAGGCTCCTCCTCCTCAAGCTTTACAGGCATCGACATGGCGTGAAGCAGCCGTGCTGTGTGCTCTGAGCTCTCCGAGTCTCTCCGAGTCTCGACCCAGGGTTGCTTCGGATGGGCATTGCATCTCTTGAAGCCCTCTGACTTATAGGCTCCTGTGTAGTAATAACTATACCCCAAAAGGGAACTGCATTGGAGCCTTTGGGTACATCCTCGGGTCGATGGGCCGCTATGCCCGTAGGGGTTGCAGCTCTAAGGTCGATTGATGAGGCTGGAGTTCTGCACCAAGGCCTACAAACCTTAAACCGACCTTCTCAAAAAAAGCATGGCCCCGGCCCAACGCGTCATCCGACTGGAAGAGAACTTCTTCGTCATCATCCGCCTGCTCTCCGGTTCCTAGAGCCTTTCTTAGACCTTCAGCCATCCACCAGAAGCCCCGTAGAACTCTGTCGACTGTCCCCCCTCTGCTGATCAATTTTGCTCCAAGGAGACAGGGGGCGCCATCAATGGCCACTCTGATATCCAAAGACAAACTCTGGAAGGTTTGCGGCAATAAGGGACCCCGAATACAGACCCCAAATAGTAGGATCCCCTTATAGCCCCCATATAGTGTTCGTGCAGATGGGAGCTTCAGTCGCCTCCATCCTGGCTTCGCAGGTGGTTGGACCCTGGGACGCCGTGACGACCTCAGCCCCACATCTCAACGCTTGTTTTGGCTAAAGTGGATGCAAGTGGGAACACCAAGAGTACTAAGCCATGACCCTCCAAGCCCAAGGCTCATCCGGCTGTGAAGTTATTTGGGATACTGGGAGAGCAGGCATCGGGTTTCAGGACTTCGGGATTGAAAACTGTAGCGCCCTTCAATTGCTAGTGAGAACTGTTGGCCCTCAGACTCTTGGTCTCAAGATGCCTACCCGGGCATTTTGAGAGCACAGTAACCTTGTGTCCCCTCTCCTTCCTTCAGTTCCTCAGATTCAACCTAAACCCTAAACCCTAAACCCTAGACCCTGAACCCTGAACCCTAAGCCCAGATTCAACTGAGAGCCCCACGCGATTCGTCACCGGCGTCAGGTCCCAGCTTTGGGCCAAAACGGTGTCAGGCTTGGACTTAGGCGAAACCGGTACGCCGCGCCCCCAAAAAAAGGGTTTAGGGTTTAGGGTTTTTTTGGGGGGTTTAGGGTTCAGGGTTTAGGGTTTAGGGTTTAGGGTTTAGAGAATTGTGGGAAACCCGAGCTTTGATGACCCACCCCTTAGCTGCATGGAGTCGGCCAAGCATGTGTGAAGTCTGTCCGAATGGAGCATACCTTGCTGAATCACAGTGACAAGCCTACTCTGCCACCACATAGTGGAGCCCTGCAGAATAACCCCACGAGCCATGTGCGGAAAGGGTAACTATAACCCTCCTCTCCTCCCGTCACGCAAAAATACCGACGTACAGGAGCACAGGTTTCTGTCGGCTCTTCTTTTTCCCGTGCTCCGGCAGTCGCAAGGGATGTCAAATGGTTTGCGCTGGACCTTTGGGCGTCGGCTTGGCCTTCGGAGGCGGCGCCGTGGCCTTAGCTTCAAGTTTGGGCCTTGCTCGGAGCTTCGGGGTCCCATCCAGGAGATTAGGGTTGAGGGTTTAGGGTGCAGGCGTGCGCTGTTTCTCTGTTTACAAGTACTTAGAATCTATCTGGTACAGGAAGGATCTGGACGACATGGCGGACTAGGGCCTAGGTCAACATCTCAAAATCTCGACAGCCCTAAACCCTAAAACCCTACAACCCTTTTTTCGAAACCCCAAACCCCTGAACCCTAAAATCACCCCAGAACCCTAAACCCCCAAACCCCCCCCCCCCAAACCCTGTTTTTTTTTTTGCATCCAGGCCTCTGGCCTCTGAAGTCTGCCTGAGAAGTATCTCAAACCCTCAACCCTAAACTCTAAACCCTAAATCCTAGCTGCTGCCGACCCGAAGGGGCCTCGCTTTGCGCCTCGTCGGGGTCGAACTGTGGGATGGCGAAGAGGCCAACCAGCTCCCGGCTGCGCATCCTGGGTTTGGGGGGGTTACATACACACACACACACACACACACACACACACACACACACACACACACACACACACACACACACACACACACACACACACACACACACACACACACACACACACACACACACACACATATATATATATATATATATATATAACAAATACAGTATATGCGTATGTACATATATTTGTGGATACATACATACATACAATACATACATACAATACATACAATACATACAATACATACAATACATACAATACATACAATACATACAATACATACAATACATACAATACAATACAATACAATACAATACAATACCATACAATTATATATTATATTATATTATATTATAATATATTATATTATATTATATTATATTATATTATATTATATTATATTTCTTTCGGTTGAGGTTTGCGGACGCTGCAGGTAAGTTGCAGAGTTGTGTGAGGTGCATGTGCAGAGTTAAAGCACAGTGGCTTGTGCATTGGGCTGGTGTTCTTCGAGAGTTTGGACCTGGTGTATATGTGTGTGTGTGCGCGCACAAGATCTTGTGGGTTTCGACGAACGCGCTCTCACAGCCTTTCGGACGGGGTTCGAGACTTCTACTGCATTCGAAGCAAAGGACTTCAATCCTGCAGTTGCTGAAGCCGGCCTTGGTTTCGCATTCTGAAAGGGCTTTTGGTGTCACACTGCTTGTGCTATCACCAGAACGAGCCGCTTCAGTTTCTCAATTTAAGAAGGCTGAAGCCCTCCCCATCTGATTGCCACCGACGTCCTAAACTCAAGGCCTAGGCCGCCGCCCGCCTCCCACAGCTCTCCGCATCTCAGGCGGGGTGCGTGCTCGTTGCCCCCCCCCCCCCCCCCAATCCTGCCGACCCTCTAACCTCCCTGACCCCCCTGCCTAGGCAGCCCAAACCCGTGCCACAAACGAGCCGGGACCTGGCCTCAAACCTTCCCCCTTGGCTGAAAGTCCACATCGGTGACGGAAAGGTATTTTGGAAGTAAGCCATTATCATGAGTTTAGGCCTATAAGCCCTAAAAGGAATAGGTTTGGGTGGTTTTGCCGCCTCGGACGGCGTGGGGTGGGAGAAAAGTATTCGATGGCCCTCCGCAATTGGGCCAGAGCTGCTCTTCACACCTGACGAGGCATTCGAGCATCCTAACCTTCACAGCATCTACGCCCTATTACAGCAAACCCTAAACCCTAAACCGTAAACCCTAAACGGTAGGTCGCCACGGCTCCATGACCAGCCGGCAGCCACAGCGGCGCCTGCGAGAGAGACCCCAGCCGCTCGTCTCGGCAGCCAGCGGGGTGGCCAATCCTTGAAATGCCAAGCGATTGCTACTTGCCAGGGGGCTGCTTGTGGCAGAGTAAGAAAGAGTACTACTATATTGGTATCTATGACAAGGAACTTAACCCCTCGCCCCCCCCGCCCAAAAAAGAAAAGAAAGAAAAACACTGGGTCCTAAGAGCAGCTGCTGATAAGAGTTAAGACCAAACATATGTTGCTGTTTCCAGTGGAAGAGAATTCTGTCAAGAAGGTTACTTGACGCTAGCTGGTCATGAAGAAGGATACTGCGGATTAAAAGTCGGAGGCCAGCAAGATCTGGCAAGTGTCTCCCGCATTGTACATCTGCGATGCCACCATGGAGGTGCACAGAACGCTGATTCCCCCGAGAGAGCCTCGGCGTGAATGTTTGTGAACACTGTTGTCTCTCTTGCCCTCCCCCACCCCCCCGGCCCCGGCATATCTTTTCCCAAGCATGGAAACCCCTACTAAACTAAACAGTGGAGTGAATGAGCGCCATATAGACCCAAGCCCGACGAATCGCCCCAATTGCTGCTGGGCACCTCCCATCAAACCGGCGCGGAGCGCCCTCTTCCTCCGGTGGGCTGCGATGTAACGCCTTGGTAGCGCTGGAGATTCTTCAGCCCTGGAGGGTTCGATGCCTTTTTTGAACTTGGGATACAGGGCACTGCTTATGCTTGCCATGAATCTTACTGCAAGTCATGAGCTGAGATGTCTAGAACTGTCACGATATCACTTCTCTGAAGCCTGCAATACTAAAAAAGTACTAGAATACCAGACTGCTGTATGCCTACATTGCTACAGTACTACTTTGGCATAATCACGTGATGCTACGGATTCTGCTTACTCTTACTACTACTCTTCGTATGAAGGTTCCGCGGATTGAGGGTCCTGTGGCTTCGCGAATCCGGTGCTCCTGGGGGGTTGGGACGTCCATCCTGGGCGGCCACAAGACCATGTTCTGCAGATCTCAAGTCTATAGATTCGGTGCCTTGGGACTCGAGTTCTGAACTTCTTACTGCTGCAGGCTTTCTTTGCTCAGCTTGAGGTGGGCGACGGCTCGCCAGTAAGCTGATACATCATCCAGTCGTCCATGGCACGCAGAGGGCCAACAGCCTTGGGGCCCTGTAGGCCTTAAAATCGAGACACCTGATTTGAAGGAGGCGCTGGGACTCAGATGAACAACGCAGAAACCCAAGCTGCAAAGCTTAAAAACAAAACGCGCAACGCGAATGAAACATTGTAATACTGACGCTCTGAACGACTGGCCGCGGCCGATGGGCGTGTGTCACTCGCTGATTGCCAAGTTGTCTGTCAAGTCTTGAGCTGGAAACCTGCTGTTCACGTATAGCTCGCACAATGGAAGTTCTGCACCTTGCGCGGTTGCGCCCACACGCCGCGCTGTCGCGCGCCGAGCTCCAAGACTTTCTGACCAAAAAGAAGCTACCTTGGGAACCTCTCCGCTCTGCACATCTATAGATCAGTGTAGGTACGACGATGGAACCTGACATTTCCAACACCTTCTGCTATGTTGGACCCACTGGCCAATGCCTGTGTCCTAGCGACCTTTCTTCAACCTTACTGTTGGTTAGTAGGAAATGGGAATGAGGTACCCGATATAATCCCTTAAAGGGTATACATAGGGCCCTAATTCCCTCATTCCTTGCTAACCAACAGTGAGCTTCTTCATCCGGACAGGCTGTGGAGCTCTGATCCTAGCAGCCGGCATTCTCGGGTGCGGCGTGCTCTTTGCGCGCAGAGTGCAACCTGATTCTCCGGATCTGATCGAAAATCGGGTTCCTGTCCGCAAGCTGAAGGGATGACATGACTGAAGGCAATGAATGATACAATTGTTCTCCGAATCCAGAGTCAGGCGAATTTGCCGTCAGGGGTTGCTGGCGTGTCAGCTTGATATAACTGTACACCACCTGGCGCATCTCCGAGCAAAGTGAGAAGCCGGCCTTGTGTCATTAACTTTCGTTCAGATCACTCGTTGGTGGGAGTGGGCGCCTGTCACTCGATACAACTCGCTGTCTCGAGCAGATAGATTTTCATCTTTGGGGGAATTGCCCTTGGTCGGCCATGAATACACTTAAATAGCACAGACCCGCTGTTAAGCTGCCCATTGACTCGTAGTCCAAGTTGAGCTAAACATGCTGTAGCAACACATGTTTAGATGTGATAGAGCTCGTGCTAGATCCTCAGAGTTGTTCTTATTGGTCCGAGGCTTGAATGCTTCCCGTGGGACTTGGCCCGTTGAAGAGTGTTTTTTCATGACCCTAAACCCTAAACCCCAAACTGGCCCTAAACCCTAAACCCGACTATTAGGGTTCCCAAGCTCAATAGAAGACTGAACACCCTTGTGGTGGACTTCAGTCTGCCTTGAACCTGCGGGTTTCTCAGGCCTACGCTGGGGCGCACGGGACCTCTAGGGTTTCGACACTCAGCAAGCTTAGGGTTATAGGGTTTGGGGCTTAGTGATGCTCGCGGCGATTATCTTGGGAAGGCAAAACTGCATCAAGACTTCTCTGCCGCATCCTTGAAACAATGAAAACCTAAACGAATCCCATGAACATTTGGAAACTCATTTTTAATTCTGATACAGGGCAACTGAATGCAACTGTGGGGCGGGGGCCCCAAGGATGTTTACAGAGTTTCTGGCTCTCTCCGTCGCTGTTGCTGTTCCTCCCGCTCTCGTTCTCACTCGGGCGTGTTTTGTGTCGCTCTCTGGTTTTCTTCTCTTTGCCTGAGAAATTCAGGCGACGAACCCGTTGCGCTTGCGTGCTTCCTGGTGGTGTGTGACAACAAAACGGCTCCACACACGACCCTATAAACCTTTTTTTTCATCAGGACTACAAGTCCTGATGCAAAACCCTAAACCCTAAACCCTAAACCCTAAACCCTTCACCCTGCATCCTGAACCCTCGACTCTGAAACGGGCCGACGGCCTTTTCCAGCTTCTGGAGGTGCCTGGTGCAAGGATTAGAACTTGGGACGGTTCCCCCTTATACTAACAGCTCCTAACTAGGGATTCCCCGAACATGAGCATCATGAGCATCAGCTGGGTGGCTTTGGGAGGCTTTGGGCGTGTGCTGGAATCGAACCCCGAGGCTTTGGGCCCGTGTGCTTCCCCCGAACACGAGCATCATGAGCATCAGCTGGGAGGCTTTGGGCCCGTGTGCTGGAAGCGAACCCCCGAACACGAGCATCATGAGCATTAGCTGGGAGGCTTTGGGAGGCTTTGGGCCCGTGTGCTGGAAGCGAACCCCGAACGCGAGCATCATGAGCATCAGCTGGGCTTTGGGCCCGTGCTGGAAGCGAACCCCCTAACGCGAGCATCATGAGCAGCTGGGAGGCTTTGGGAGGTGCTGGAAGCGAACCCCGAACGCGAGCATCATGAGCATCAGCTGGCAGGCTTTGGGCTCGGGTGCTGGAAGCGAACCCCCGAACGCGAGCATCATGAGCATCAGCTGGGAGGCTTTGGGAGGCTTTGGGCCCGTGTGCTGGAAGCGAACCCCCGAACGCGAGCATCATGAGCATCAGCTGGCAGGCTTTGGGCGCGTGTGCTGGAAGCGAACCCCGAACGCGAGCATCATGAGCATCAGCTGGCAGGCTTTGGGAGGCTTTGGGCCCGTGTGCTGGAAGCGAACCCCCAAATGCGAGCATCATGAGCATCAGCTGGCAGGCTTTGGGAGGCTTTGGGCCCGTGTGCTGGAAGCGAAGCCCCGAACGCGAGCATCATGAGCATCAGCTGGGAGGCTTTGGCAGGCTTTGGGAGGCTTTGGGCCCGTGTGCTGGAAGCGAACCCCCAAATGCGAGCATCATGAGCATCAGCTGGCAGGCTTTGGGAGGCTTTGGGCCCGTGTGCTGGAAGCGAAGCCCCGAACGCGAGCATCATGAGCATCAGCTGGGAGGCTTTGGGAGGCTTTGGGAGGCTTTGGGCCCGTGTGCTGGACGCGAACCCCCGAACACGAGCATCATGAGCATGGCAGGCTTTGGGAGGCTTTGGGCCCGTGTGCTGGAAGCGAACCCCCGAACGCGAGCATCATGAGCATCAGCTGGCAGGCTTTGGGCCCGTGTGCTGGAAGCGAACCCCCGAACGCGAGCATCATGAGCATCAGCTGGCAGGCTTTGGGCGCGTGTGCTGGAAGCGAACCCCCGAACGCGAGCATCATGAGCATCAGCTGGGAGGCTTTGGGAGGCTTTGGGCCCGTGTGCTGGAAGCGAACCCCGAACGCGAGAATCACGAGCATCAGCTGGGAGGCTTTGGGAGGCTTTGGGCCCGTGTGCTGGAAGCGAACCCCCCGAACGCGAGCATCATGAGCATCAGCTGGGAGGCTTGGGAGGCTTTGGGCGTGTGCTGGAATCGAACCCCGAGGCTTTGGGCCCGTGTGCTTCCCCCGAACACGAGCATCATGAGCATCAGCTGGGAGGCTTTGGGCCCGTGTGCTGGAAGCGAACCCCCGAACACGAGCATCATGAGCATTAGCTGGGAGGCTTTGGGAGGCTTTGGGCCCGTGTGCTGGAAGCGAACCCCGAACGCGAGCATCATGAGCATCAGCTGGGAGGCTTTGGGAGGCTTTGGGCCCGTGCTGGAAGCGAACCCCCTAACGCGAGCATCATGAGCAGCTGGGAGGCTTTGGGAGGTGCTGGAAGCGAACCCCGAACGCGAGCATCATGAGCATCAGCTGGCAGGCTTTGGGCTCGGGTGCTGGAAGCGAACCCCCGAACGCGAGCATCATGAGCATCAGCTGGGAGGCTTTGGGAGGTTTTGGGCCCGTGTGCTGGAAGCGAACCCCCGAACGCGAGCATCATGAGCATCAGCTGGGAGGCTTTGGGAGGCTTTGGGCCCGTGTGCTGGAAGCGAACCCCCGAACGCGAGCATCATGAGCATCAGCTGGGAGGCGTGTGCTGGAAGCGAACCCCCGAACACGAGCATCATGAGCAGCTGGGAGGCTTTGGGAGGCTTTGGGCCCGTGCTGGAAGCGAACCCCCGAACGCGAGCATCATGAGCAGCTGGGAGGCTTTGGGAGGTGCTGGAAGCGAACCCCGAACGCGAGCATCATGAGCATCAGCTGGCAGGCTTTGGGCTCGGGTGCTGGAAGCGAACCCCCGAACGCGAGCATCATGAGCATCAGCTGGGAGGCTTTGGGAGGTTTTGGGCCCGTGTGCTGGAAGCGAACCCCCGAACGCGAGCATCATGAGCATCAGCTGGGAGGCTTTGGGAGGCTTTGGGCCCGTGTGCTGGAAGCGAACCCCGAACGCGAGCATCATGAGCATCAGCTGGCAGGCTTTGGGCCCGGGTGCTGGAAGCGAACCCCCGAACGCGAGCATCATGAGCATCAGCTGGGAGGCTTTGGGAGGTTTTGGGCCCGTGTGCTGGAAGCGAACCCCCGAACGCGAGCATCATGAGCATCAGCTGGGAGGCTTTGGGAGGCTTTGGGCCCGTGTGCTGGAAGCGAACCCCGAACGCGAGCATCATGAGCATCAGCGGGGAGGCTTCGGGCCCGTGTGATGGAAGCAAACAGCCGAACACGAGCATAATGAGCATCAGCTGGGAGGCTCCAAGCCCGTGTGCCTGAAGCGAACTGCCGAACGCGAGCATCATGAGCATCAGCTGGGAGGCTTTGGGCCCATGTGAGCCGTGTTTTTTTGCTCTAGCATGAATCGATGGACATTATAACCCTTCCGCGGACCCTTCCGCGGCGTGTTGCGCGTTCCTTCCGCGAGCCTTCCGCGGAAAAACGCGATTCCACCTTCGCACCCGGCCCGAAACAGAAATGAGTGTATCATGTGTATATGAGGATGAGGCATGGACTCTAGGCCTCCAAAACGACCCGTCGCCTTCTGCGGAGCTTCCGCAACCCTTCCGCGGGCCTTCCGCGCAGATCCGCTCTCCGAAACGGTTGCCGGCATGTTGGGCATCCATTATATCTAAGTTTCAAGCACGCCGCCCTTCCGCGAGCCTTCCGCGGACACCACGCCTTCCGCAGACCCTTCCGCGACCTTCCGCGGAATCTTGTTCACCTCTTCACCCCTTCCGCGGACAATAATAATGTCCGCTGCAAAGTACCTATGCTCGAGCGCCTAAAAAAAAACGCAGCTCATGTGCTGGAAGCAAACCCATGAGCATCAGCTGCTGGGAGAGCATCATGAGCATCAGCCGGGAGGCTTTGGGCCCGTGTGCTCCCCTACTGTAATCCCTAACAGGGACTAAATTGGGATTCTAGTAACCCCGCCATAATCCCTGTAACCCCACTATAATCCCTATTAAGGACTGTCAGGATCATGGGGAGTATCCCAAATCAGAAAGAAGTGCTGAGGTGCAAGAGGTGCCTCTGATTCAACCGTCTCTAGAATGCACTTGATGCACATCCGAAAGTTGCCCGCGTCTTGTGGAGAAGCCTGCGCAGACCTAACAAAGCAGCGCTGCCTTTGAGGAAGAAACGCGCGCCCTGAAAAAACACCAGCCTGCCGGCAGCAAACTCGCGAAGGCTTGCCACCTCAAGATTGCAAACACAACCTAAGCATAACTTTCAGGGCCCAGCCAAGCAAGGATTCCATGTCAAAGGGCAGGCACGCTGGCCCAAAAGGGTTTGCGGCCCTTTCCCTCGTTGCTCAATCTAGGAGAATCCCAGGCTGCCGCGAGCTATGAGGCCAAAAATTAGTAAGTGTCTAATTAAGTAGCTAACTGACTATGCAGCCACAGCACAAGGCCTCCTTGCGATTTTCGCGGGCATTCAAAAGCCTTCCCCTCCCCCTCCCCCCCCCCCCCCGGCGGCACACCCGGGTGTTGGTCGGTCTCCCCCCCTCCTTTCGAGGAAGGGGAAAGGTGGAGCCAAACGACAACCACAGCCAGCCTTCCCTCTTTCCACAAACTTATAAGCTTCTGGGGGGGTCGCCCTGACGGGCGCGTGTCAGCAGGCCTGCTGGGCTGGCGTGAGACTGAACTGGGCGTGATGAGTGTAAGGGTGATATGAGTCTGAGGCCAAATCAATGCTCCCACATTTTTTGTTTGCTTCTCTACACTCTCTTTGTTTCTTTCTTTCCTTCTTTCTTTCTGGGGGCACACCTCTCTCTATCTCTCTCACGTGCCCGGTCCAGCCGTCGGACATCCTTAGCCTGCATGCTGCTGTCAGGTACCTAAGCTCCCCCTTAAACCATGCCTTGTAGCTGGCCACGACCCATTTCGTCAGGGCCTGGCATGGCGTTTGGTGTAAAGTCAAGACGTCCAAATCTACCAGGGCTGACCCGCTCGAGCGCGCAGCGTATTGGCCATGAGTCACAAGCAACGTATCCGTATCTAAGGACCGCACCTCGGGTAGGTAGCTGTAGAGCTGGAAATGGTTAGCCTTCGCAGTGAGACTGGAGATGGTGACTCTTGCTAACTTTTCAATTGGCGGTGAAAAATTATTCCACAGCCCCCGCCCCCCCTGTCCGGACAAACGCCGCAAAACAAAACAAAAATGAACAGCGCTTCAACCTCTCAACGGTCTGCAAGCTCTGGGACGAAAGCCCAGAACCGATAGCAAGGACGTAGGGTTGGGATCTAAAGTGTCATCCAGTTCTCTCAAATGCTCCCTTAAGCCGAAGGAGGCTGTACCTAGGGGCTAGCGCGGTTGATCTAAGTCATCGGCCGCTTCATACAGAAGGCTATACTATACTGGTGAACAGTTCAGTTCAAATCCCCCATGGAGCCCTCTAAAGCCCTTACTCAACTCTCAACTCTCAGAAGATAGTTTTTTGGGAGGGGAAGTTATCGTATGTTGTGGGTATAATTGGGGTGCTGCCTACCTCTTTTTAGGGAAATGCCAATGTTTTGGTCAGGGTTTCGAGAAGCTCGACCCTGAACAGCCACATGTTCCCTGATCCAGGGCAGCGGCCCCCTCGATCACGTGCATGTCTTTGGGGCCGGGCCTCTCGGTGCAACTGCTACGTGGCGGAGGGCATCACCGTCAGAAGTCGAAGTGTGGGATGATAGACATGAAGGATGTGGGGGTTCTTCTTGGGGGTGACTATTGCCGGCAAGACCTCCAACAAACCAAACAGGGAGCTCTGCGTTCGGCAAGCCAGGAATTTTACAGTTTCGGCATCCGAGTCTATCTCCCTTGACTATGCTGAAACCCCGGGGAGGAAACCGACTCAAAACGTCCTTTGCGAAACGACTTGCTTGGCAAACCTGATGGAGATTGCAGCCTTGTCCCCCCGCCACACCCTGTCTGAGTCCCAGTGCAAAGACTCGGCAAAGCCTGGGCGCATGGTCACGCACCACACGACCACTCCACGCAAACATATGACGTGGATGGTCAGGGTGGGGGAACTGAGTTGGACCTGGACCTTCACACACTCACAACTATGAAGGCTGAAGGTGCACGGGCTTACCGTTCCCTTCCAAAATCCCGAAACCCCAAAATGCGCGTCAATCCCCTGAACTCCTCCCCAAAACCCTTCGCACTGATGGACTACAGGCTGCTGAGCGACTTCGGAACGACTTCATCGAGCAGAACTCGTCCTTGGTGCCGACCTCCGTTGCTTCTTTTGCCGCTACATACTACCTTTTTGAGGTTCGGGTGTAAATATACTTGCAAGTTGCCCAATTGATCCTTTACAGGCGGCATTATTTAGCTGATAGCAACAACATAATGGCTTACCGGGGCTTGCATATAACGAACTCGTACCCTGGGCGGGTTGGACGCTTGTACCACTCCCAGTGCTGGCAGATAGCCTGGCCGCCTGTGATTTGCAGCCCCACCGACTGCAAAAAGCGCCGAGCACCCCTGAAGATCTCCAGCTCAGCACCAGGCCAAGAGCAGCTTTGGCTGACCGGCGGAGCGTGCCGCCTACCATCGGCCGCTACACCAAACCATGAAACAACATGTGAACGTCCGGCTCCTCTACAAACCTTGTAGAAATCCTACACGCCCCCTACTATGTCAGAGCTGCGAACAGTCCCAAGCCCTGACACAAGGAGAGGCCTGGTCCCTGAGAACCCTCCTTGACTTTGTGGCCACCGGCCTGTGCCCGGAGGTTATGCGCGTTGAACATGTACAAGGCCCATCCTTGGAAAAGCATCGAAAGCAGGTCTTTGACTCTTTGACCCCGGCCCCCCAAACGGTTGGCAGCGGTTAGAGGCCGGAGTGAAGAGTTTGTGGCTATTAGGCTTTGGGCTCTAGGTTTGTTGTAAGGCTCTTTGGCTGAGTCGAGATTCTTTTTCGGTTCTTTGGGAGATTCAGTCGGGTGCTCGCACGGTGTGACAGATCGCCGCGGATCTGCGGACTTCGCTCCAACCCATCCTCAATACAAGGCTTCCTCCCCAACACGACGGCGCGAGTACTTTCGACCTTTCCCACCCCGCCCAAAAAATCAAGCAGCCTGTATTTGTCACGCAACCGGCTTCTTCTTCCTAAGGCCTCTCTAGATCGAAAAGAATCGCCAACCTTCCCGAAAGCAACAGGGCTACTCCTAAACCAGAGAGACTGCGACGATCGACAAAGCCAAGGCAGGGGCCATAGTCAAGAGGCGGCGCAAGAGCCGCAAAACCTGTGGTGACCCTGCTGTGTTTGTATTTGTTGGATGGGGGGGGGGGGGGGTGTGGGAGGTCGTTCTACATTTCACTTTTTTGGGGGGTGGCCTTGCATACATACATACCTTACGGTACCAAAATGGCAAATGTTTAGAGGCATCTATAAAGCGGACCGGCCGTGATTATTTGGAGAGGTGCCCACTGAGCTGCTTGCCTGTCGACAGCGCACGATAGTTTTGATGATCATGCATGGCAACACAAATCCCATAGTCCCAAAACCACTGCTGATGGATGTCTCAATAGAGTTGCGGTTGGTTTCTCCGCTGCTTGCACGTTGCGGGGAAATGCAGAGCTGAGTTGCTGGCCTATGGCCGACGGAATATCTGCCTCAGCTCAGAAGCCCTGCGTGTGCCTGAACCTTGCACCTGCAACGAATCCCAACACAATAGGAGGACCTCATGGGACTTGCAGTAATGAAGGGTTTCAAGGCTTCTAGTTGCCTTGCTGGCAACGGTGAGTAGATGTGCACAAAGTTGGGTTTATGACGCTTGGTTCAATGTCACAGGCCGATGGGCTCTAGCAGCCGAAAGTTCTATGCACTGGAACTATGTTGTACACGAATTATGCTATGCTTGGCTCGATCGGAGGTGTGTGCGTGCATTGAGGAGAATGAAGTGTACACCTTGTGCGCATGTGTGTGTGTGTGATTGTGTGTGTGTGTGTGTGCACGTACGTGTGCGCGCAGGTATGTTTGTGCATTCCGGGTTGTGTCTCTGTGTGTGCGCGCTGAGTGCTAATCAGTCAACGTGCGCCATGATCAATTGTGGGGGGTGGTCCACCGTTTGCCTACTGCCACCCTGCCGCCGCTCAACCTTGGACTCTGCCTTTTCTTTTGTGGTGTGCCGGAGGTCACCAGCAATACTGCTCATTCTTGTAGTATTTTGTAGACAGGCAAGGTTTGGAAGGCCCCCTCAGCCAACGAGTATTGGGCCAAAACCTTCTTTGGCAACACATGATGCGAATCTAGCCAACATACGTCGACCCTTCGGCGACCCTTTCCACCGCCCTTTCGCACGATTCTTTGCGCATTCCTCCCTAACTATAGGTTTCGTCTAAACACTCTCAGAAATAGCAAGGCCCACACCCTTTAGTGCTACATGCGCGCACATCTGTAAGCTGTGGGCATGCTTGCATGCTGTTCGGCTGGCTGCACGTCTGCATTTCGCAGCCCAGCGTTTGGTGCCCCCTGCCCTTAGCTGCACACAGCTGCTGCAGCGCCGATGATGGAGCCGTAGCTGTAGCCCACAATTAAGACCTTCTACGAGGTTGCGATTGCAGGCTTTGCAAGGGCTAGAGTATGACTCGTATGACCGTGGATTTTCGGTACCGGGAGTTAGAGCCTTCTCGCTACCACCCGGTGATCTGTCCTGTGACTCTACAGGAGAAGCTGTCGGATGGGGTAAGATTTCGGCTTGTTTCTGGCTGGTGGGAGCTCTTCCAGAATTACGGTGCTTTGGAGGGCCGAGTGCAGGAAGCAGTGAAAGGGCCTAAACCAAGCTCCCCAAAACAAGATACTGCTGTCTGAAAGCGCAAATAGTCGCTGGTTCTTTGTGCGGCTTAAATTATTCTAACCTCCTTTGCCAATCAGCGCCGCCTTCGACCTTACAAAGCAATATACACAATAATCGAGCGCATTCTACTATGAATTCTTGAGTAGCATCTGAGCTCAATCACCGTGCAAATATATATACATAAGTACAAAAATAAAGAAACATGAAATATATTTTAGTATTTTACTTCAAACATCCCCACCATCTCTTGTTAGAGATGCTCTGGGGTTGGGCACTTCTGGGACACTCTGGGGCTGGGCACTTCGGGGACATTTAGTGTTGGGCTCTCCAGGGATGAGCGAGGAGTAGACCGGGTGAGGAGAAGAGTTCCGGGCGAGGAGAAGAGTTGAGTTTGAAATCTAACGACCCCACACCGAAGGTGGGGAAATACAGATATACATACACACCTTGATATACATTGGGATGCCCCCCTCTTATACTAGCAGTCCTTCATAGGGATTATAGTACCCCCCCCCCCGCCATTACCATCCCAAAAACAATTAAAGGACTGTGAGTTTCAGGAATTTGGATGCTCCTCCCCCGCTGAGACGCAAGAAGCCTTGGAGGCGAGGATGCGGCCCCCAGCCTGCGCCACGCAAGCCCCAAGCTTGGGAGGAGGATTTAGAACTTGAACCTATAGGGTTTAGGGTTTTGAACTGTTTATGGATAACTTACGAGGAAAGATTTTAAGATTTAAGGGAACATGGATGATTTTTGATCAAGAAAAGATGCTATGACCCACAAGGAGATCTGAGCGGAGATCTTCAGCAGTCTGCTAATCCCCTCCCCCCGAAATAGTACACCCCCTACCCCCGAATCTTGCGTACTCCCATTAACATATGTTCTCGTGTATGGGGAGTATTTAATATTGGGGGGCGGGGGGGGGTTTACAACAGGGGAAAGGGTTTTTGTGGATGAGGTGGAGGGACGGAATGCTGCGAGACATCCGAGCCTCGATAGGTTTGTTATGCGAGAAAGTGGGATTCGCACAGCCAGTTTACATTGGTGGACCTTGCAAAAGGGTTTAGTCATAGCTCGGTCAGCTCGGCGTCATCTTCATTGCACTTTTGGCGTGGGCCTCATTTGCAATGGAGGAGCAAAGTGCACACTTTCCACCTCGCGCAGTGAAACTAGCACTTCCTCGAATCTTCCACTGCACATCTGAGTGTGGAGCCCTCCTTGCCCAATACAATCATATGCTCAACCACCCCGACCTCGCCTCCGGCGATGGATTCGGCTTTGTCATCCATGCGGCAACTGCCCTCGGCACATGCTGTGCATGCCCACACGTGCTTTGTATACAAGAACGTGCGTGTGTACATTCACATGGCGTGCTCAGTACCTCTGCGTCTTGAACATGTTGTCACACCCAAAGGCAGGGTCATTTCGACCTAGTAAACCCCTAAAAGCCCAGAAGCCGACATAATCCGTGCTCTGTGGGGAACTCTAGACTCTAGCCCAAGCGTTGCAGGTCTACACTCGCGCACAGCAGGTAAGGGTTCGAAAACTCTCGGCTGGCTGGGTCGGTACAGTGCAGACTCCCAGACAGGCCACTGCAATCATTATCACCACTTGCAACACTGCACGGGTTTGGGGTTAGGGGGCGAGCTCTGCAAGAGAATCAAACCCACATCATCGAGAGCCAGACTTCACATCTTCCACGGAGCCGGAACCGCTGCCAATACCTCCCCGGAAGTTGAACCTCTCAGGGGAACGCCTTCGAGAGATTCAAGAGAGATTTGGGGTTTGAGAGAAGAACCCCCCCCCC